CTGCAGGTGGGCAGGAGCACTCAAGGTCTGGTACATGATATGGCCATAACCAGGTATTACCAGCACCCCCCAGAGGTCACCTGAGGCTACTAGCATGATCTGGATGGATGTCAATGACTCATAATACCTATTCATACTAGCAGTTCTGGATGCAGGGCCCTTGGCTGTAATCTTGAGATGTCCCAGGAGAGCCCTTGCTCCCCAGATTGCTTGGGACTGTGTTCCGGCTTTCCAAGAAAAAAGTCAATGCATTATTTGACCTTAGACATCCATTCTAGGAGTTTGCTTCCAGCTGGCTAGACTTGTCAACAGACACAAGACAAACCTACAAGGAGTTTCACTGTGGTGGTTTAAGAACAAAAGATTGAAAATAATCTGTGACCTCCAATAGCAGCAGTAAATAATTTATGTTTCTTCTACCCAATGGAACACCATGCTGCTGATGAAGAGGCAGAGGCAGATCCAAACATCCTGATAGGGACCAGTGACCAGGATGTACTGTGAAGTAGAAAAGACCAGGTGCAGATAGACTTCAACACATGCTGCATTGTATCAAGCCATGAAAAGTCCTGTTTTTCACTTTCATATAAATGGAGTCATACATTATGGAATCTGCTGTATCTGGCTTCTTTCTCTCAACTGAATTGCTCTGAGATTCATCCCATTGCTGCATGTATCAACAGTTGGCTGCTTTTTGTTGCTGGGTGCACTGTGTGGGTGCACTCCACTTTATTCAGTCTCCTGCTGATGGGAATCTAGGCCATTTCCAACACTGGAGAATTCTTAACGAAGTTTCCATGGAAATTTTATACAAGGCTTTGGATGGATATGTGATTTCATTTCTTCTAGGCCAGTGCTTGGGAGCCTATTCCTGAATCATGTGGTTAATATACTTTTAACTTTATGAGAAACTACCAAACCTTTCCCAGCACGATTTTACTGTTTTACATTCCTATCAGCAATATATGACGTATGCAGTTGCTCTACACCCTTGCCTACACTTTGTATTATCTGTTTAGCTTTAGCTATTCTGGTGTTATCTCATGCTGTTTTTAAAGTGAGGAGTACTTTCGTGTTTTTGCTATCTGTATATTTTCTTTTTTGTAACGTGTCTTTTCAGCCTTTTACCTATTTTTACTTAGTTACTTTTATTGAGTTGTAACAGTTCATTATACTGGATATATTAATAGCTGAGATAGAGAGAGATATATCAATTTTATAGATCTTTTCAAATAACCAAGTTTCAATTTCATTAATTTTTTTTATTTTTTGTTCATTTTTTATTTCATTATTTTATTATTTTAGATTCAGGGGTACATGTGCATGTTTGTTACATGGGTATATTACATACTAGTGGGGATTGAGCTTCTAGTGTACCCATTACCCAAACTGAACATTGTACCTGATATGTAATTTTTCAACCCTTGTTCCCCCTGTCATCCTCCCCACTTTTGGGACCCTCAGTGTCTATTATTTACACCCCTATGCCCATGAGTACCCATTGTTTAGCTCCCACTTAAAAACGAGGACATGTGGTATTTGATTTTCTCTTTTTGAGTTAGTTCACTTAGGATAATGGCCTCCAGCTTCATCCATGTTGCTGCAAAAGACATGATTCCATTCTTTTTGTGGCTGCAGAGTATTCTGTAGTGTGTGTGTGTGTGTGTGTGTCTATAACATTTTCTTTATCCAGTTAACCATTCACACTTAGGTTGGTTCTATGACTTTGCTATTGTGAATATATAAGCAATGAACATATAAGTTAACGTGTCTTTTTTAACATAATGATTTGCTTTGGGTAGATACCCAGTAGTAGGATTACTGGTTCAAACGGCAGACCTATTTTTAGTTCTTTGAGAAATCTCCGTAGTGTTTCATAGAGGTTGAACTAATTTACATTTCCACCAGTAGTGTGTAAACATTCCCTTTTCTCTGCATTTACTCCAACATCTGTTTGTGGGTTTTGTTGTTGTTTGTTTTTACTTTTTAATTAATAGTCATTCTGACTGGTCTAAGATGGTATCTCATGATTCCAATTTGTACTTCTCTGATGATTAGCGATGTTGAGTATTTTTTCATGTGTTAATTGGCCAGTTGTATTTCTTCTTTTGAGAAATGTCTATTCATGTCCTTTGCCTAGTTTTTAATGAGTTTTTTTTTCTTGTTGCGTTAAGTCCCTTGTAGGTTCTGTATATTAGAACTTTGTTGGAGGCATAATCTGCAATACTTTCTTCCATTTTATAGGTTGTCCATTTACTCTATTACTATTATTATAATTGTTTTTCTGTGCAGCATTTCATTAATTTCTGTTCTTATCTTTATTTCCTTCTTTCTATTTTGGATTTGATTTCTTCTTTTTCTGGATTCTTGAGGTGGTTACTTAGATAATTGATTTTAGGCCTTTCTTCTTTGCTAACATAAGCATGGAAAGCTATATATTTCCCTTTAAGCACAACTTTACCTGCATTCCACAAATTTTGATATATTCTGTTTTAATTTCATTAATTCAAAACATTTTCTAATTTTCCTTGTGATTGATTTCCTCTTTAATCTATAGGCTATAGAAATGTGCCTCTTTTAAATATTCGAGGGCTTCCTTCATATCTTATTATTATGGATTTTTAATTTAACTGTTAAGGCTAGAAAACATACTCTATATGCTTTAAATTCTTTTACTTTATTAAGAGTTGTTTTGGTGAATGTTCCAAATGTATCTTTCCAATGTAGTTTTCTGTAAATGTCGATTTGGTTAACTTAGTTCATAATGTTGTTCGATTGTTCTATGTCTTCATAGAATTTTTTAAAATCAATTACTTAGAAAGGAAGGTTAACTCTACAACCACGTGTTGATTTTGTTGATTTTTCTCATTAGTTTTGTCATTTAGTTCTGTCAAGATGCTTCTCTGCATTTTGAGTCCCTGTTATTAGGAGTATTTGTGTTTAATGTCACTATGTCTTTCTATAGAATTAACTCTTAGTGTTATAAATTGATTCTCTTTCTCTAGTTTTCATGCCTCTTACATTTACCCACATAGTTACCTTTCTGGCATTCCTCATTCTTTCTTCATACAAATCTGTCTTCATTGGATATCATTTCTTTTCAGTCCAAAGAACTTCTTTTAACATTTCTAGTAGGTCAAATCTACTGATTATAAATTCTCTCAGCTTTTGTTCATTTAAGAATATCTTCATTTTTCCTCATTTTTAAGGGGTGTTGTTGCAGTCTGTAGAATTCTAAATTGACAGTTTTTTTTCTTTTAGAATTTCAGAGATATTCTATTGTCTTTGACTTGCCTTGTTTCTGATATTCAGCAGTGTTTTGGTTTAAAAAAAAATTTTGGCTACCCCATGTCATAATTGTGTCTTTTCCCTGACTAAAACTTTTCTCTTTAACTTTGTTTTTTAGCTCTCTGAATATAATAAGTCCTGGCATGTTTTTCTATTTATTGTGCTTGGATTTAATTGAGCTTCTTGCATCTATTGGGTTTATAGTTTTTATCCAATTTCATACATTTTCTCCAATGTTTCTTCCAATATTTTTTCCTGTCCCGATCTGTTGCTTCTTCTTTTGGGACCTCAGCTGCATGCATGTTAGACTGATTGACATTGTCCCACATATCTCTGAGGCTCTGGATTGTTTTTTTCTGGTCTTTACCCTGCTGTATGCTTCATTTGGGATAGCTTCTATTGCTTTGTCTTCAAGTTCAAGCCTGGTCTTTTCTTCTGCAGTGTCCAGTTTCACTTTGCAAATATGTTGTTTATCAGTTCTTAAATTTTCACTTGATCCATTTCAGTTTCTCTGCTGACATTTCCCTTTTGTTCACTCATTATGTTCATTCTCTTTAAATTCTTGAGCATAGCATAACTGATGATGCAACGTTTTTATCTGCCAATCCAACAAACGATTTATTTCTACCTCTTTATGTTGACTTTTTCCCTGCTGGTTATGGGTCCCCCTTTCCCTGCTTTTTGATTTTGGTTTTGCATATCTAGTAATTTTTTGTTGCATTTTAAACATTGTGGATGCTATGCTACTGAGAGCCTGGGTGTTTTTTCGTTTTGTTTTGTTTTGTTTTTAAGAGTGTTGACTACTTTTCTGACATGCACTTTGTTTACTGGAAAATGACTGATAGTTGGTTTTAGGCTTTTAATGGTAGGCCTAGAGTAGCTCCTCACACTGGCTGGTCAGAGTTCCAATGTCTCCAAGAATTGTCCAGCTTCTAGAATCTTCATTTACCTCTCAACCATCTAGCAGTGGTTCTCTGCTAAATCTTGCAGAATCTAACCCTAATGGATTTGCAGCTTAGCATTCTGCTGGAGACTCAAAGTTCTTCTGTACAGAATTCTACTTCTCTGCATAGCATCCTCCTTCCCAGTACCCTGCCTTGCAAACTCCATCTGCCTCAGAAGTCCCAAACTCTAATCTTTCCTCTGCCCGTGGAGCTCGCTTTGTAGGCTTATATCCCTGTGCCACAGTTTGAAAAATGCTCCCAGGCAAAAAGCCAGAGCAAATGCGGAGCTCGCCTGTGTGTTTCCCTTCTCCCAAAAATCACTGCTCTGCTTTGTCTGCTGCCCAATGCTTGAAAGCAGTTGCTTTATATATATTTGGTCTAGTTTTATAGCTGCTTATGGGTAGGGTAAATCTGATACTCTGTACTCCATCATGACCATAGCTGGAAGTACAGACTCCCTCTTTATTGTTCAAATTTTATATTTAAATGTTTCACCTTGTATATATGTTATTTTTATATTAACCTCTTCGAATGTTGTTGTAAACATCTGCAGTGCAGGCAGTGCATGACTCGGCTGTTCAGCTTACAGACTCTGCCTTGCCTATACACTACCATCTCACAGCCTGCCAACCACTCTCCCTCTAACTCTCCCTCTCACCAGGGGTCTGGGAGTTTGAAATGGACTAACCTTTGGATTGCTCACTGGGGCTCAGCCACTTAGTAGTTCTGTGACTTTGGGTAAGCTGACTTAATCTCTCTGATCTCCAGTTTCTTACAGGCAAAATAAAGAGGATAATCCTTCCCTCATAGGACAGCTTTGAGAATTGGATGAAATTGCTCCTCTGGAGTACTTTCTACAAGTCCGTACTATCATGCAGGTGCTGGAAAAGGTTTTCTTCTTTTTGTCCTTCCCACTCAGTGTTAGAATGACGGAACCTTTGGTCCAGAACCTGGGATGTTGCCTTTTGCTCACTGGAGTTCCCATCCTGGAAGAGTGAGCACAGTGGATTGTCCCGGCAGCCAGGAAGCCAATGGAGCCAAGTCCTTCAGGACAGCCTAGGAGCCTCCAGGAAGCTGTTAGGAGTTGCCATGCTGGGTGCATTTGGACTCACAGAATCTGGCTTCCGATCTCAGTGCTGCTTCTACTCCTTTACTACTTTAGGGCTCTCATTCCTGTTAAAACTGTTTTCTTATCACAGAATGGGGAAATGTGTTCCTTGAAAATAAAAATGAGAAGTCATTTATGAACATGCTTGGGAAGGATGATTTTCTGTTGTTTCGTTGTTTCTGGTCTCTCCCTGTTAGCCCCCAGCATGACCCTTATAATATGTAAGCCCGCTCATTCCCTGGCCGTGCCCCCACCCAGCTCCCCACTACTGACAGGACAAGGTCCAAGCTCCTCACCCAGGACACAGCATTCTCCATAAGCCGGTCCCACTCCATCTCCAGTGACTTTTCCCTACCCCGGTCTCATGTGCCTCTGCTCCCATCCTTCCAAAGCTAAACATTCTGTGTGAACACTTCCGGTTGTTTCCTGCCTTCTCACGCTTGCACAATATGTTTTACCACATAGAAAAAATCCCTCCAATGTCCATGTGACAAACTCCTATTCATCCTTCATAACCCTGTTCTGATATACCATGTTCCATTCTGCCCTCTCTGATATGCCAGGCAAAGTGAGTCATTCCTCTTCTTTGCCACCCTTGGGCCTTCCTCCTCATGATCGTCATAGCAATCCTGCTGAAAGGGAACTGTAAGGTTATTTTTCAATCTTTCCCTCTACTATGAACCCATTGAGAACAGGGCCCAATATTATATTTGAATGGAAACATTTTCAAGTGTTCAGCTGGGAACCCTGACCTGGAAGGGTAGGAGAGCTGATCAGAGCATGATGGATAGTGGGTAGGTGGATGGGTGGGTGGATGATGGGTGGATGAATAGATGAGTGGGTGGATGGATAGGTGGATGATGGATGGGTGGGTGGATGATGGATGGGTGGGAGTTAATTAATGTTTATTCTATTTGCCTATCTGTCTTCCTCTTTAGAGTCTTAGGTCTTTGAAGACAGGCCCGTATCTTGTGTGTTTGTATTTGGACAACCACAACCATTGCCAAGAAATGTATCTGTTTTACTTGCACACGTTCACCACCTGGAAGCTCTTTGGGGACACAGGTCTGGTCTGTCAGAATCTGTCTGTACTACTCCTCTCTGTATTTCCCCATGTCTGATATAGAACCATCGATGGCTCCCTAGAATAAAATCTGAGCTCCTCACTGTGCCCACAGCCCCAGTGACCTTGCTACTTCCACCAGAGCCCTCACACCAGTGCCCAGATGTACAGACTGACATCCTGACCATCCCTCGGACATGGTAAGGTGGGTTCTGCTTCTGGACTTCTGAACAGACATGATGGTAAACCCAAACATTTCAGATGGTGAACAGTCCTGCAAGCAAAATAAGACAGGGTAGAGCAGGAAGGACTTCCAGCAACATCACCCCTTTCTCCCTCTGGAGCAGGAAGCCCTTCCTGCAGGACTCAGCTCAGGACCCAGTGGTAGCGGTGCCCAGGGTCCCAGGAGGAGTGTGGAATGATGAGGGGCAGAGGGTGTTACCAGCCATGGGGGGAGGTAGTGGGAAGGTCATGTGCTCATTTGTTTATTTATTGACTAAGATTTTATTAAGCACCTACTGTGTATCATACACCTACTGTTCAGGCAGAGAGTAATGTGGTGAATAAATCAGCTAAGTCTCTGCCTTCAGGAACTTACTGTGCTGTGAAGGAAACACAATAAACACTCAAGCCAATCAGCACTGTGCATAAGACTATGTCAAATTTAGGTCAGGGCTGGGAAGAAAACAAACAGGTAGTGGCATCGTGATGACGGTCAGGGCCCTCCGAGCGGAGAAGGAGCCAGCCCTGCAGTGACGGGTCAGGGGTGTCCCGGGCAGAAGGAACAGCAAATGCAAAGGCCCTGAGGCACAAACAGGGAACCCAAAACGGTGGCTGGGGTGTGGGATCAAGGCAAGGATGGAAAGTGAGAGAACAAAAGAGGCCCAAAGCCTTATGTGGTCTGATGCACCCAAAAAAATATATGAAATAGGTGCTAGACTTGAAAAATGGGGGTATTTCACATCAAAAGCCAGGTTCCCATCTTCATCTAAACACTGGTGTTGCTGGCATCTCTGAGCCTGTAAACTGGGCATGAGGCTCGCTTCCGCCCCTGCTAGTCTTGGTGGGCACCCCAGCCCTGTAGCTGGGGGCGAGATGTATGCACCCAGGCTGGGCATTGGCATCCACGCCCTTGGGGACTCTCCATGGGCTTTGCCTGTCCCCTGCACCTCACACACACCTGCACCAAGCCTTCCCTGGCCCCCACAGGAGAGAGGCCCTTCACCCCCCCGCACCCCATCCTCCAGCTGCAGACTCCGGCCTGGCTTCTAACAGGGCCCCCCCTTCTGACTTCTTGCCTGCTGCTTCTCCTGGTCCTCTGCTCAGCTCAGCTGTGCTGGGTGCCTCCCAGAGCCCTAGATGGGGCCACCTAAAGCCCAATTCACTCTTGGAGGGGCCCTGGCACAGCCTGGGCAAAGGTAGTGAGCGAGCCCTGGAAGCAGGGGGTCCATCCTGACCTCAAAGCTTGGCCTCCCTTCCTGGTTGGACCCAGCCTACGTGGGCCCCCCTCCTGACTGGCACCCATAGCCTCTGATGCTCTCTCCATTGCATTCTCTCATTTCATCCTCATGGCAACCCAGGAATCAGTGCTTTGGTGTCCTCATCTTAGAGCTGAAGGAAGGAAGCCCTTTGAGGGACAGTTCTCTCTGGCCTCTGTGTCCCCACTGGGACTCATACCTCAGTCACTGAGTGAGGCTGCTGCATGTAGGGCAATCCCAGCTTGAGGGTCCCAGCCTCCTGCATGTGCCTTCAGAGCTGCATGGCTCTGTTTATGAACCCAGCCCCCAGACACCGAGGGCTACCAACCTGTGACTCGGGGACTCAGGCACATCACCCCACACCAAAGTGATGGCCTCAAACAGCCCCTCATTCCCAGCGGCCAGGGCAGCCCATGAGCAGGTCATTAAAACCGAGTAGACTTTATAAACTTGGGCTTAATGTTAAGTACATAAGAAAATCTCTGTAATTTCCCGCTGGGCAATGGGGATGTTGTCTGGTTCCTACAGGCCATAATTTTTGGGGAGAAAAACGTTTTTTTCCCCACAAATGATGGGAAGTCAGTAGTTACGGTTATGGCTGGCTGTTGACATTGGGAAGCTGTTCTGATGCCCAGAATCCCACCTACCTCAGCTAAATGGTATCTTTATGAAATTAGCAGAACGCGGCTACACCGAGGGGAGGCAAAAAAAATGAACTTTCAAATTTTAAGTATAATTGGAAAACTGACCTTTGGAAAATATTTTCCCACCCAAGCCCCTTGCTGAGGAAGAATGGGTGCTTTATGTTGAGGTGAACAGGCGACCTTGAGGAATTAGCTGCCTTCATCTGGAGGGGAAGTGGAGTTGTGACTGCTTGCCGGGTCCCTCCAAGTGTCCTCCGGTTGCAGGCTTTGTGGTCACTGACCCAGGAGGGGCTGGCGATGCTGAGGCCAACCCTGGGCTGGGGCCTGAGGACCAGTGTGCATACTCCTGGAGCCCAGCACCTTCCTGGCCATTAGCCATGAAGCCCAGGCTGTCCCTCTTGGGTGGGCACCCTGGTGTGCTGAGCATGCAGCCTGGGGTGGTGGGGAGTGCCACAGGGCAGCAAAGGATTGCACAAATCGGATCATGCAGCGCTGCTAGCATGCAAACAGGGGGAGGGGGTGTGACGGGGGGGTGATCAACCCACGTGGGTTGGGGCCTGGAGCCTAGAGGAGGGTGGGGCAGGGCCACTGGCAGAAGCAGGAACCAGGAGGGGTGTCTGTGCCTAGGCCCTGAGGCAGGAGCTGGGGTGGCACAGAGGGCAGGGGGCAGCATGGTGAGTCCGGAGCCAAGTTACTGGAAAGGTAGGAAGGGGCCAGGGCATCCAGGCCTGAGGCCCGAGAGGGCGCAGTCGGGACCCTCGGGCAAGGAGAGTGAGGGAGAGTCCATCCGGAAGGACATGTCTGCAGTGTGCTACAAAAAGACCCCTTTGGCTGCCCCGAGGAGGAAGGTCAGGGAGGGCACAGGGGCTGCCAGGGGGCAGGGGCTACCAGGGGGTGACGGCTGAGGGGGCTGAGGGCTTGGATAGGCTCGCTAGTGCTGGGTGGGACCTCAGAAAGTTCCTGGGGCACCGTGGGGCTCTCAAGAGACTGCGGGCAGCCTGGGGACTGGCTCCGGAGGCTGCCATCCAGGATCAGAAAATGTCCCAGAGGAGAGGTTAGGGTGTGCCAACAGGGAGTGAGCCCTGCACTGGCTTGGGACTGAAGGAGCTTGAGGTGCCTTTGAGACCCAGAGGTGGAGATGCCAAGAAGGTGTTCACTGGGCTTCCAGGAGCTGCCCAGCTGTGCACTTGGTGCTGGGGACTCTGAACCCAAACAAGTAAGACAAACACTCAGCAACTTGGCCAAAGTCTATTGGAGCCTTGAATGCATGGTTACATCCACCCTGAGCCTTGGTTTCCCCATCTATAAAATGGGGTAATTGCGGGAGAGGAAGTGAAGGATATGGGGTTGGGGATCTGTAATGTCTCCTGTCTTGCCCAGGACCTGTGGCATCTGCCCACTACTGGCTGCAGAACTTGGCCATCCCGGCATGTTCGGCTCCTCCCTCTACCACCTGCCGGACAGATAGTTTCCTATGAAGGGCACAGAGGGGACAGAGCCTTTTCAGGGCCCCTTTCCTGAGTGGCTTCTGTCCCTTGCCCCTAGCTGTGATTTGGGCCCACTGTGTTACCTGAAAACTGTCTTGCCTCTTCCTTTGGGGACAAACTGAAGCTCCAGGCTCTGCAGTTGGCTCAGAAGAGGTTTAAAGAAGGAATGTGGCTGTGAGGCTGTCCTGGGGCCTCTGCAGGGAGGAGCCCACCAGCCCCTCCTGGAGGTAGGAGGGCAGGCAGCCAGACCTCTCCCCAAATCCAGAGGCCTGGACCCTGGTATCTAAGGCTGTTTCCAGATCTTGCAGTAATAGTGCCATTCCTTTGAGTGGGCTTTCCCCCAACCAGGATGCATCCCCTGGTGGCTTTGTCCTTCCTGTAGGGTCCTCTGGGCCTATCCTGATCCCCCAGGCCCTGGGGTTTAGGGAGTACTCATGGGCCTCGCCGTGCACAGCCTGCTCTGTGCCT